TACCACTCTGTCAAAGACGTGTGTCCCTCTGCCCCTCCCACTCCGGCTACAGCTCACGAGTCCAGGAGGAGATTGAAATGTTCGAGGCAGAGATGGCAGGCTCACAAATTAAATTCTCCAGGTTCATTAAGCCCTCACACCAGGAATGAGGCCGGAGGACGGGGGTTAGCTACAGCAAGTTTACGTTCAAAGCTGCTGACTAAACACAGTTCAGAGCTGTGAGTGACAGGTACAAACTTATGTGACCTGTTTTTTTACTCCTTCCCCATGATTTATCATTGTTCACCTGAACAGTTTATAGCAGGGGTCATTAAACTAAGGCCCGCGGGCCGACTCCGGTCCTCCACGCCCCTTTGACCAGCCCCCAGCCCCTCTGCCCCGCACCATTTGAACAGGCCCTATGAGGCAATCCTCAAAAGTTGACATGGCTTATTTTTTAAATTACTTTTTGGCAAATATTAACATGTCTGCATCTTGTATTTTGCTGATTTTTTCAATTAAAAAAATATATTTATATGAAGTATTTATATTTAAATAATTATATGACATACATTTGCCGCAGAATTTTCATTACCTGACAAGCTCAAGATCAATGGGTGACAGTCAACGCACGCATAGAGTACTGTAGAGCAGTTAAAGACAGCAATATGATTAATGTATGTATGGATGAAAAGTTGACAGAGTGCTGAGTTTTCACAGAACAGTGGACCACTGATAATTTTTTTGTTCAGTGTAAGGACTGTGTAGTTTGTCTGATATGTAAAGAAAGTGTGGCGGTTTTTAAAGAATATAATCTGCCTTGTCAGGGTCATTCAATTCTGTTATACGGTCGACCCAACTTCAGGCCCCATCACAGTCAGGAGCGCTAATGTGGCCCCCAGAGAAAAAAGTCTGGTGACCCCTGGTTTATAGGCAAATCAAGTGACTGATTAGTTGCCAGAGAGTATAAGCACTGATCTCAGTCATCAATATAGTAGTAAAGTAACAATGGTCAGTAGTTCCCAAACTTTTTGCACCAAGTACATCTTAAGGTAATACTTTCTTTCTGTTTACTACCAGACCTAAAACCAGACCTAATTAGGATTAAGATTGTTTTAAATAACAGATTATCCAAAATAGGACAAAAACATTAATATATTTGTGACATACTCAAACCCAGCACATGTAAGTTAGAGAAACACTCTAGGCTGATAATAAAGTCATCCCAGAGTAAAGAATGGAGCATCCCAAGTGACAAAACACACTCACTGTGGCGTGTGTGTCACTGAGTCCATAGGTTACATGTAGCAGGTAGGTCTGTGCAGTTTTTCTGCTGTTAAACATGGATGCTGAGGACACGATGCATTACTCAGTGTGCGCCTGCTGCGTCACACACGCCGTGCGCCTGCGCTGCTGCGTCGCTCAGAGGTGTAATGCCTGATTAGGGGATTACAGGAAAAGTGCTTCTTTGCAGTTCTGTGAGAAACAATTATTAACATGTTGGTGTCTCTAATCCTGGATAACACAGCTTTTCAAGAACAACAGTGAGTCTCTTTCTCCTCCTTTAAAATATCCAGTGTTTAAAGCCCATAGTCACTTGAACTCTAAAGCCTAACTAATACCAGTGGAGGAGACAGGCCAGCCATGTGGAACACACTGTCATTACAGAGGTGCTGCTCCTGGAAGTCAGAGCTGGCCAGCAAGAGCTCCAAATTGAGCAGGGAGAGACAGGCATTGTACTGAGCAGTGCTTGTTGAAAGGGCATTAGACTGAAACATGTGCACACTCGGTAATCTTTCATTTGTTTGCACTCTTGTCTCATGTAATCTGCTTTCGAGTAATGCAGAGACAATGCAGACAGAGGATTTCATGACTGACACATACAGGTGGACTTGAAGACAGATTTATGCGTTTTGGCAAGTTGATTAGAGAAGACAAGCATTAGGCAAATACGTATATGTCTCCTATATTTCACAAATATGAGAAGATGTAGAATAACTTTTAATGTCCATCTTTACTGATAGTGAAAGAGTGACACTGACATTTTACGATACAACATTAGATATATCCAGACTGGTGCCACCTAGTGCCTCCGCTCAATTTCATTTCTCTCCAGCGACTAGGTCAGGAATCAAAATACACTAGACAGTTTGCAAGAACCCCGAAGTGCGAGTCCAGGCACCAGTCAATCAGTGAAGAGCCATACATTCTGTGTTGGCAACGATTCCCGAGATAGAGGATTTAAAGAGGAACAAAGAGAATGTTTGGTGAATTTTATTAAAGGGAAAGATGTTATTGCCCTTCTTCCTATGGGATTTGGGAAAAGCTTAATATACCAGCTAGCCCTGTTAGCGGCTCATTATACAAGTCATGACCAAATAGCAGCGATTGGTTAAATTAAAAAAAAGTACCCATCTAATTCTAATGCTGTGAGGTCAGACAGTTTCCACGAAGTGAAACCGGTTGATGGATAAGGCTACGTCAGATAGTGAACGTGGACAAAAAAAAAAGGGTGTTTTCATGTTGAACTAAGGCTGTGTGCTTATGGCAGTTCTGGTTTGGTCTTGGTTTGATCCTGAATTAGTCCCTAAGAAGATGTGGTTTGGTACTGGTCCATTGGTTCCTGGTTAGACTTGGTTTACACTATAATCTCCCATTTAGTCCCATTTTGATTGGTCACTACAAAATAGGAGAACTTGTGATGAAGCCTATGTTTGAATTTGCAGTAAATTACATACAAATAGTGCCTGTCGTAGCAAGTGGCCATTGGGTGATATTACTTTAATCAAAAATCATAGGCTCATATTTCTGCAGATAATCACTTTCTATTGGCAAATCATCAGCTGAATTCAATCGAACATGTTCCATCCTTTTGCTGTGAATTCTGAGCTACAAATCTAGAGCAGCAAGAGCCCAACAGTCAGCTCACGCCTGAAACCAATGGAGACTCACCTTACACTCCCAGTCTATCATTTCAGTGTTGCCCGTGGCTCTGAAATGGAGCACATCAAAACAACCTGGAAGTTTCATTTCTGATAGCCTTGAACATGCTGACTGGCCAGAATGTCCACTAACGGGCACTTTGAAGAGTACACCTCATCTCAGTCATCTGTCCAGGTGAACGCTCCTGAAAAGAAACCATCCAGTTTCACCACAACATCTATTATATATCTATATTCACTTTTTTGTTTATTAAAGGGCCCATATTTTGCTGTTTCTAATCCATGTTATGTTGTTTCCTCACCAAAAACATACCCAGAGTTGTGTTTTATTTCATTTACACGTTCAACACAAAAACATACACATTTACTAGAATCATATGGATAATTTCAACCCTGGAATTGTTCATCTCTACTGAATAAAAGCTGTTATTTTGAAAACTACCACTTCATATCAACGCAAGGTGGAATGGAGCATTTTGAGCTTGTAGAGCGATGTAGACAGACTAATAATTATCTAGTTACTCAAACCTGTGTGAATGAAACACAGGTATGTTTTTGAAGAGGTAATAACATTCTAACAAGTCTTGCAGCACGCAAGAGTCATTTGTGTGTAATATAAAGCATCATTATTAGTCATTTTGAAGGTGGTCCTCTGGCTTCACAAACAGAGAATGAATAGATTGAAAATAGCTCACGGTATCACGGTAATAAACAAATATACAAGACGTGTGAAGTGAGTGAGTGAGTGTATTGTGAGTACACTTTGATTGACCTCTGGTGCTGTGGAGGAAGGCCTGGTCTGCTGCACTGGAGATGGGTGGGCCTGATACTGAAGCTAGTGGTAGTGGATGATGTTAGGGATGTTTTGTGCCCATCTGGCGTGGCAGGGTTTAGCCCTAATCCTTGAGCCCCTCGGCAGGGGAGCCACAGACTGTTGATCACATCCCTCCTGCTGCTTCACAAAACTCCTCTGACCTCCTCAGTAAACAGCAACACCTCCTGTGTTAAGGAAACAAGTCATGAACAACTCTAACACATTTTCTCTGTCCCGTAGGACTGCTATGAATACACTATTTAGAATACAATACATGTAGTCGTACAATTAGACCTTTCATGATAATCATTTTTGAAGTGCACTATTAAAGGTCCTATATTAGAATAAGTGGATTCTTGTGAACTTTAAGCCATGTTAGAATGTTGGTACTTAATCAAAAACATACCTGGAGTTGTGTTTTGTTTCATTCACACGTGATCAAGTAACCCTTCATTATTAGTCTTTCCACATCTCCAAAGCTCAAAATGCTCTGTTCCACCTGCTCCGTCCATGAAGCGGTAGTTTTCAAGTTAATAGCTAACTTTTACCTTTAGTTCAGTAGAGATTTCAATTCCAGTGTTGAATTTATGCCAATGATTCTACTGAAGATGTATGGAGTTTAAAAAACACAGTGGAGCACTTCCTGTATTACCACATGACATCACAAGGTGGAACAGAGTGTTTTCTGGTTAAGAGAACTCTGCCTAAGTTTGCCTAAGCAGGGTTTGTGTATTTAACAAAACTCAAGTGCAGGCATGTTTTGGATGAAGATACAATATTTTAACATAGAATATAGAGTAGGCCCGTTAAAACATTGTTTCCCAAAGACTGATTCGCAAGAGATTTTTTGGGTCACCTGGTCAAGATTTGCATGTAGGTCTAAATATGCAATTTACCTTTTATTGCTGCTTCAGTGACTGTTTTTCATTGTGTAAAACTTGAGTAATGCTAATTGTTCAGAGAGACACAATCACTCAGTCAACAATAAAATATCCTCATTAATGTTCAATATCGGTCACAGATTTATTTTGTGATTTACAAATAATGTCCATTTGACTTGGGTCGCAAAGATTTGTGACTTTTAAAATATGGGTCCCCAGAAAAAAAGTTTGGGAAACACTTAAACAATAAAGGATAATATTTATTAAATGACTTTGTTATTCACACAAAAAACACAAAAGTTGGATAAATATTATACACTTTTATAAATGTACAGTATTGTTTAAAAAAAAGACATGAACTGCAATAAATACACGTGTATGCTTGTATGTTTGTTTGACCAACTCAAATGTTATAATTGTACAGAAACAGGACAAAAATTTCCCCAACCATAATAAAATAATAAACAAAAAGCACTAGAATAACATGCGTGACTTTTATCAACAGTCTCCTTTATCATGCAGGACAATAAAACATTGTTAATTTCAAACTCATGCTGCTATCTTTTCTATGTCAATAATTGGCTGGTATACAGTCCTAAGTGCACAAATATTAACAGCCATTTGATTGGCAAGATGCTAATGGCCCTACCAACGGAAGCCTGTCCGCGCACAGAAAGGGGGTAGAAGGACTTGTTTTTGCAAAGCTATATGGAAAAACATATTTATTATCATACACACACACACACACACACACAAGTAGAGAGCTGATTCAAGAGCAAATAAACATGTACATAATTACAAAAACAGAGACAGATAGGCAAACACACAGACACCCAAAAGCAGTGAGCGCGCCATACCCAGCACACACCTAACCACTGATAATCCTCTAGACAGGAGCGCACACACAGAGCATCATTATGTTTATCAGTGTGAACCAGCCCACCGACACCCATCACTCTAATTCCATTTGTCTGTTTAGATTCGTTTTGCTTTAATCCCCCCTTGTTTGTGCACATCTGCAAGCACTGCAATAGTACAGACAGGCAGGCAGGACAACAGACAGAGGGACTGACGGAGGGACTGACACAGAAGAGACAGAAGTACAGACAGAAGAATAGACAGAGGCACAAACAGAAGAGCAAACAGAAGAGCATACAGAAGAGCATACAGAAGAGCATACAGAAGAGCATACAGAAGAGCAGAGAGTACCCAAACTCTCCTGGTGCTGCAGCCTCCTCAGGTCCCTGTGTATGTCCTCGCCCAGAGACGAGCTCTCTGTCCCAGGCTTGAAGCTGCAGCCAGGCCCGCAGGCCCCGGTAATCACTGCAAACAGTCAAACATCCAGTCAACGAGCTTCTCACACCAACACAACATTACAGGCTTTTACACAGTATTACACCACATCTTATTATCCCATTCAAGTCTCTCTATTAGCTCAATTGGATGGTGGGATTTTCATTTGTAAATTGGAGGATTTTAGATTAGCTTGTCTGTCAGCAATGAAATGCCCCCTGAGACTGTGAATTATGTGACCAATCACATATGAATCAATGCTTACGCATGCCTTAGTGGATGAATGGGTGGTGTCAGCAAGAGGAAATGAACAACTTTAACCTGGATTATGCATTATACAGTGTGTACACGAGACTAAAGGTTTTATCTCAGCAGATATCATAGCTGTTTGGCCACAGATTAGGTACAGATCAGAGGCATTAACTCTTCTCAGGAAATAAGAGGGATAAATTAGGGCTAATGTCTCAACAATGAGTGGATGACATGATTCCCTATAGCTGACAATGAGAACTGTTCGCTTTTATAAAGTCAAATAATATGAGGGTCTAATAAGGAATTATTAAAGAGATAAATATTAGCTGCTATACACACCTAGCAGCAACATTATGCAGAACTGAAGCTGGTTGGTTGAAAAGGAGGCAAGTGAATTAGCCGTCTCCCTCCTCAGGCCCTCCGTTCAGACACGGAGTGAGGAGGAAAGGCAGAGAAGGCACCCCGAGCTAGAGGAGACCCTGCAAATTATGAAAATGCCTCTCTGTGTCCTAAATGGAGGCCGAGCTCTTTAATGTGGCACAAAATTAGAACCTGGGGGAGCGAGTGTGGCCTGCTTGATTGGCGAAACCCCTCCTGGCCCACTAGCACCCCAACCCCCTCCTTCTCAAAGCACACACAAGATATTATCCAGTGCCTTGTGGCGCTGTCTTGTACTGGTGAAACTGTAGCACCCTAGATATAGCCCCGGGGCGCCTATAAAGGTACCTAATTTGTCAGTTTACTCCTCAATTATTTAAATAGATCTAAGAAGAGAGTAGAGCACAGGGCTTTTTCTGCCTCTTCACAGTCAAAGCCGAGAGAGACCTTTCTCCACGCTAGACATTTTCAATTACGCGCTGCACTGCCGTCTTTGATATACACAAGTGCCGTGGTGGAAAGGGGCTGTATCAAATAAACAAATGTGTGTATATAAGATAACAACAGGAACTGTTTACGCTCTGGAGAACTCAGTTATTTCATGTTTACCATAAAGACACACCAATGTGTTCTACTAAGTTGCTTCTGTGTACAGTTTTCATCCTCTCTCAACAATAAACTCAGCCGTGATGTACACATGACCACTTTGTGACCACTGAGGCTGTTTAGGGGCACAATGACATTTCAGGTCCCAATAAACTCTACAAATGACCAGTTTGTGGGGTGTCAAGGGCTCTCTTAATCTGAATGCTTTTAGAGAAGTTCTTCTTTCTCAAAACCTCTACTTCAAAATGTCTAACCCTTAGAAACAGGACAAGGTAAAAACAACACAAAAGTACTATTCACTTTTAATCCCTTTGACAAGAAGTGAAACATACAAATGCAATGGTGTTACCAACTATGGGGGAGCAATAAGATAAAAAATGAATACTTAGAGCCAGATCACACAATCATAATGATTTAAAAACTTCGTATTCAGCCTTTAAGATGTCACTGAAGTCATCTAGTTCTTCTAAGAGGTCACACTTCACTGTGATTGGTTAAATTCATCTGTCACTCACTTAGGGCATGAAAAAGGCTGGAGGAGTGAGACGGGAAAAGGGTTGTTTTTAGAGTGACTAGTGTATTAAACAATGAAGCAGTCAATCACAGTATAATGATTTTACCAAAATAGCATATTGTCACAGCAATTAAATCGTGATTCAATTTTAATCACCAATTCTACAACACATATCTGTCCGGCTGCTTAATAAACATACACTACCTACACGATGGAGATGGTGAGTACACTAACTCCAGACAAGTTATTGCATTCTGCCCACCATGCACAAGGGACACTCTTTCACTAAATGTGCTAGAAGAATGCATGTATTCCATCAAAGCCCTAGAAAAGGGGCATTGTGCACTTATGAGACAAACTTTTACAGAAAATAAGACTTTGTGGCTAGTTCAGAATAGTGTCTATGACACTGTATTAACCAACACACTGCAGAGCTCCACCCTCTCTCCTTTCCAAGCCTCCATCCAGCCAGGGAGAGTGGAGGAGATAGGGCCAGCTCCTAAAGCTGTCTTTTCAGCCCCTTCTCCCACTTGGTCTATCGGAGATACACAGCAAGCGGAGGTGTCGTTTTGGGCTGGCATTTCGGACAGTATCTACTTATAGACGGGAGAGAAAAAGAAAAGAAAAACAGAAGGGGTATTATCAGGAAGGGATGAGAGCAGCAAAGGCATTTTGTCTTTTTATTCCCCTCCTAAGCCATGGGCTTTGCTCCCAATCCGATTGGTCGATACGGCCAGGGATGTAAATGAAATGCAAAGAAGAATAAGGCTGGCTTCCCATCTCCAGAGTGTGCCCCACTCTGTATCTCACTCTCTCTTGCACAGTGGCTGTTTATGGTGTTGTTTCTGATTCCCATTCATAGACTTGTGCTCTTCCTGTTCCCCCCACCCCACACCTCCAGCTCCTCTCCATCTCTTGCCTCTCTCTGGCTGGGCTCTCAGCTCTTATCTCCTCAGACGCCCCACATTCCAGCGTTGCTGTGGCTCCCTGCCTGCACCCCTGGTCACGGCGATTCCATGGGTTCCCACAATCCTCGGCAGCTCGGTGATTTAGGGTGGGCAACTGACTCTCAGAGACAGCAAAGAGGAGAGGAACAGAGGGGTTAGGTAGAGGCAGGATGTGCTGCCACTGACACTGTGTGACAACAGAAAACAAACAGTCAAAACACTTAATAACAGCAATAATAGCAACTATATGTAGGAAAACTACAAAACAACTGAATGCTCTTCACTCAGTATTAAAAAGAATAATGCAGCATTTATAGTCATTTAAGTGGTCACTGCAAAAGTGGGTGATTAGATGATAGTATGGCTGTGACATTCAGTTGACATGATTCAACAAATACAGCACTTTTGCTGTTATGCAAAGGTTTTTGCTATCAACACAGGGAGCAGGCACATGATTTTATATTTAACTAATCAACACTTCCTGCAACATTTACAGACATCATACCATCCACCATCCATTAAACCTTTTAACTCACCTCAAAAACGATCCTTGGCATTGGCACATTTTACATTTCATTCACATCCACAGGGGATTACTGCTGCCCCAGTAGAAATGAATAAAATTAATCAGTTCAAAACATTAAACGAAGATGGATGGATAAATGAGTGAGTACCCAATGCATGACATAAGTCTGTCCCACATTAAAAACATTACTTTAATCCCTTGTTTCGCCTTCCAAATTGGTCATTCCTCAGCGTAGTTGTACTAAGTGAGGACAAATCAGTACAGCTTGAGTAGGAGGGAAACAATCAGATGAGGTCAGGCAGGAAATCCTTAAAGTTATAAGAAAACATATATGTAGTAAACTGTAAACATTATTCTGACAGCAGTAGTGTAAACTGTGTAACATTGAAGTCTTTTTTCCTGAGAAAGGCTGCACATTCACAGTGTCATGTCTTTAGACACAGCTCACCGCTGAGTCTACATAGGTCTATAGATGCTATCATGTAGTGTTCCTTAGCCTCTGGTGAAGTCGGTCCTTTTCCTTGCTCAGGTGGGTGATGGCAGAGCGTATGGCAGCAGCCTGTGGATCCTTGGGCTCCTTCTGTAAGTAAAGGCGGAAGTGTTGCACACTGCAGGTCAACAGGCTGTCTGAGCTGTAGCCCTGATGACCTAAGCGAAGCAGCCTCTCACAGGCCAGAGCCAAGTTTTTGTCCCAGTTAGGAGGGTACTGAGAATAAGTCTCCACTATGTCCTTATACAGCTGCAAACACACAACAGGCAATGTCTGAGCTCAGCATAAATGAATGGAACAACAAATGATACTCTTCTTGTCATGACATTTTTTGCTGTGATATGAATGTGTGTTTGGTTACACTCACAGTATAAGAGAGCTCAAAGAGGCGAGCTTTTGCCTCTCCCATCATCCTCTCTGCCAGGTCAAACAGAAAGAAAGCCGTCTTCATCCTAAACAAAGCACACAGGGCTCAGGGCTAAGTGCTGGATGGATGAGCCATGCAGATCCACTGCTCACAGACGCACCACTCCAATGGAGTGATTTATGTAGATGCAGCAGCAAATGCAATGTACATGTAGATGCTCTAGCACACAAGACTGGTTTATGGAGATGTTCAGGCACACTCGTATGCATCGTGACTCAGCTTTCATGTGCTCCAAGCAAGTACAAGAAGTAAAAAGAGCTCACTGTACCTGGCCTGCCACATCTCCTCATTAGCAACACGCTCCCAAGATGAAGCACTGAAACTGTTGAGACACAACAATTTAGCAGTGAGACAATACTGATACATATTACAGTTATTATAATAACTGATAACAAGAAGTGCTAAATTATGAAACATTACAAATAAACAAGAAATAGACTTTAATATGTTGTTGATTGTGAACATGTGACCTCTTCTTCAAAAGAGCACTTTAAAAGGGCTGTGCAGCTAATATTTGGCTTGTTGGTCTTGGTGGACATGGTTGTCATGAATGTGCACAGAATAATGTCACAGTATTCAGCCGTGGATATCTGAGTGAATGAAGGGCTTGGGGCAAGAGCCAGTGAATACAGAGCTTTGACTAATTCCACTTTTGACACAGCTATTGACAAAATGCAATATGAAAGTCATTATTCTCCATCTAAAGTCTCATTTCAAATGGCCAAAGGCTTAATGTTTTGCTGTGTCTGTCCACAAACAAAGACATACTCACAGAGACAAACTACACAAGGAGTAGGCAGATGCTGATGTTAAAAATAAAAAAAATTACAGAATATTCACTCAATAGGTCTGCAAATAATGAACATTTTCGTGATTAATCTGGTTATTGTTCTTTGGATTCATTGAGGAGAAGCTGTTTCAACAGAATGTGAATATGAGGTTTTTATTATTACATATTTTTTGTTTCACTTGACACATTTGGGAATAAATCCCTCTCAACCCAGGGTTTGTGTTTAGTTTGGAAAACACTTATTCGATTACTAACGTGGTTGATGATAAATACAATATCATTTTGTATCAATTAATCAATTAACTTGTTTCAGCCCAACATTATAGTCTGTATTAATGTAGTCTAATACAAAGAAAACTGTGCTATGTCAGTATTTGTTACATTTTAAAACAGAAAATATTATAGTATTTGCATTCTACTGACAAACCTTTATATTAAATGATTACTGCAACATCAGTGTTTACAAGCAAAATTAATATTAATATAATAATAATAATATGATTATAATAATATTAATATTATTTTGATAGTCTAAATCATACAAATATGCTAAAAATCTTTAGAGGAAGCATGTGACATTTTAGACTGCCCCAAGTGTAACGTGTGTAAAATGTTGTGCTCATGAGGCATAGACTTGAGCGCACCTGTTGTGTGGCTCACTCCAGTTGTACATGTTGCGAGTCCGCTGAGCCCAATCTTCAGGATGAAAATTCTTGTGAACAGGCACTAAATAGTCACACACACCAAAGGGCCATCGGGAAAAGCTTTGCACCCAGCTCTGGTCTTCGTCAGGCAAGCCAATACAGGCAAACACATCTCTTCTGCAGAAAAGACATTTAAACTATTTTTTTAAGTTTTTAAGAGATACTTACACCTTTTAGAGAACATCATGACTCTCATTGTTCAATTACACTCAGAGCCCCCAGGTCACTGTTGCCCCGCACTGTGTTAGGCATGTTGGCCTGGCAAACACTGCCCCCTGGTGGGCTTGGTATTTACAGTGCCTGTTCCTCCTGAGGGGTGGTGGATAAGAGCAGAGAGCTGAAATGAGTCCATCAGAGGCTGTTTAACCAAATCAAGCAGATTAGTTGACCTCTTTGGTTCATCAAAGTGCTTTTATGGCTGGAACGACCTTCTGAGCTTATCTTCTTCCTTCACTCACAGGGCCGCAGATCTCTGCCTTATTAAATCACCTACTTGTTCAATGAGAACAGTATTACCCCCCATTATGCTACAATCTCTTATTTATAATTTATAATATTTGCTTTCACATTTATACCGTTCCTTTGTGTTCTGTTAGTGCTGCAGAATGACTTACTGTGGATTACGGGACAGAAAGTTCTTTAAACTGAAAGTCTGTTTTGCTTCAGTGTCAACTGGGTCCCAGTAGCGGCCAGGAAAGTGCACTCCTTGAAGGTGATGTCCCAGTTTGGCAATGTACCATTTGTATGTCATCATCTGCAAACAAGAAAATACTGTTTCACATATTAAACTAAACAAAACTGACAAGTGTCAGTGTGGCAGCTACACTTTTCTATAAGAAGTATGTGTACGATCCTTATCTTTCTTCAGTGAATTCAAAATCTAAACAAATCACCCTAACTATTCAGCTGATGTGACATAAACAATGTAAAAAGCACTTTACAGGTAAGTTTACTTTTTTAGAATCTATAGACATCTCTATGTGTGATTTCTTTTTTAGTTTGTATACAGTTCTGTATTTAAGAACTGCTTCAGTCTCACTTTAGGCCTATTTACTGCATTTAGAAATAGTTCACCTCCTGATCCACGAGCTGCACGTCTGGCCGCACGTCTTGACAGTAGTGCAGGTAGCGGAGAGAATTTCCGGGGAGATCTCCTCTGGTCAAGATGATAGAGTTTTTGGGGACAGAGGAAAGTAACTCCTGGCCAAACCTTTCCACTACACTGTTTGTACTAAGGTCACATTCCCTACAATTGAAGACAGAAACATTTGTTTGTAACATAAATAAAGTTTTTTGTTAAACTTCTAGCATAGTTGGAAGCCTTCTTACTGCTTAATAAAGTGTTACTGGTATAAAAGGTTTGAGTTTTCAGGTATGCATCAAGGTGTTGGGAAGGTAAGTTGTCAGTGCCTCCGCCCCTCCCACTCTGCTGCACTGCACTGGCTGCCTATCTAATCACAGGCAGACAGGTGTGATGGGTGAGACAGCACAGGCCATGCACTCCCCTTGATCAAAGCTGCTCCATGATGGCTGTCTGGCACTTCCCTGCACTATGCTGGAGTAATCTGCCTTTTCGGACAGCCAACATCTGAGCCTGAGCTCTCGCAGTAGAATCTATGTGCTAACCGTGCCTCTCCTTAGCCTCTACCATGGTGTGAGTGCAGAAAACCTGACATGCACAGTTCAGACCTGCAGCATGAAGTTTTAGAGTAAAACAAATCACATTAACTCAGGAAACTTGCAGGAGGGTTTAGTCTTTATACCAACTTTTATCAAAATCTTTTACCTCACAAGATGGCTAATTTGAAATCTGTGAAAGTAGAAAAGCAGTGCTATACAAAGCTTACTTGTGATTGATGTGCACAATATGCGCCACAAGAGTGATTGTAAGGAGCCAGCCTGTTATCTTCCATAATGCCCCACAGCCCAGTTTCCTCTCTAAAATACTGCAGGTCCGACTCAGGCCAAGGCCTGCCAGCACACACACTGCAGCGTCGCTTTGTAGCCAAAAACGCTCAACCTGCAGGAGGGGAGCACACAGCAGAGAGCTGCTTTACCTTGTACAAAAAGTCAGTGCATGTCCATTTCTACTATAATAAATGATAACACTGTCTTACCACTCCCAGCAGCAGGGGTCTACCTATATCCAGGTTGGCTCTCCATGCAAAAAACAATGAGTAAACCAGCAGCATGGCAGTCACAAGAAACGAAATAGTGCCACATTTTCTGAAACACAAAAAATGCACATTCTCTTACAAACACTCAAAATAATCCCGTTGATTTTGTATTTATTTTGACTAGACAGAGACTAAAATGTAAAATGTTTTGTGTGTTGAACAACATACTAAAAACATTAGCGCGGATAATTCGACATCACAAGTCGAAGGAAAGTGAGTAAGTAATCCAGTTAAGAAATGCATGATTGATATTCTAAGGCTGACTGAGTCAGTGTAAGTTTAGCTAACTGTGATTCATAAGTAGTTACAGCGCAGCATCTTATATACTGAAAGCAACATAATTATATTTATTGTTTGATTTTGTATTTTCTTTCTTACTTGTCCTTTATGGAGAGAAGCAGCCCGTTTCCTGCCAGCACGAGCACAGGAAGTGAAAGGTCTGCCAGGCAGTGCTCCAGCTGGGCTCTACAACACAGACAAAAGATTCTAAATAATCAAGTGCCCAACAAAGTAAAAACTTCAGTCACTGCTGCAACATTCAAGGACACCAATTATGAACTGGCCTTCCCTCTATAAAAACAAACTGAGTGGACATGCGTGTCTTCTTTCAATGGGATTGACAGATACAAATGACTGTGTCATCCACCACCCGCTGCCCCGTCCGCTCCTCACAGCTGCTGTCAGTCAGCAAGCGCTTGCTCAGAGCACACAGTTTCCTGCCTCTTCCTTAATACCCATCTCTATTTGACAGATTATTGAGTCTCTATATCTCTGAATGTACACTATGTGAGAGTGCTCCACATGTGTGTCTGTGGGAGAGTGTGCCCGCTTCTGCAGAGGGTTTACGTCTTCACTCTGACATGCTTGTCATGTTCCCCTTTTTCCCCCATCTTGAAGGTGTGCTTGTCCATCAAGCAGCAGGGGTGATAGGGAAGGGTGGGTGCTTGGCAGAGGGGGGTCGATAGTGGGGGGCCTTAAGACGTACATGCACCCCCATCCTATCAGCAGAAGGATGATACTGTGGTGGCAGCGGTGGTGGAAGAGAGCAGGGATGGATTCGGGTGGAGGTGGGGGAGCTTGAGTGGAGGAAAAAATACAATTTCTCCAGCTCTATTGCAGTGTCTGTCATCACAGCTTGTCACGCTTAAACACCAGAGCTGAGTGATCATTTCAAACTGCTGGAGAAACAGAACACAGCGATTTGGCCCTCTAAGCAGGTTCACTAGTGCTTTCAGGAGAGAGGGAGAAATGGGAAGAACAAAAGCTACTGTGGGGAGTAAAGGCACAGAGGAGATGGGCCTCAAAATGACTGTGGTCCAGTGTGACTGAGGCTAAATCTGTGCTAAACACCTGTGACCCTATATCTTCAAACTATGTGGGACAGTGTATCACTATTATTCATACTCCTAATCTGCTACTAGTTTTATATAGAACATAAAACAACATTACATTGGTACTAACCTGCATTTAAGACGTGTGGAAAAATGAATGCATTTATAGAACAACAGAAAATACAATTAATTTTGAAATACACTTACTGAAGCATCATGGTCATATTCACAGAGCCTGATGTCTTTGCCTAAAACCAAAACAGGACACATAAAACAAGAAAAAACAAATGGTGCAGATACATGGTGAGTATATAAACCCAGTAGACGTACCAGACTGAAGGTGCCATACTCAGACCTGAGCAGGTGAGTGAGGAGACCAGACAGAGAGGTCTGGTCTCCCCAGCTCCAGCGAGCAGTGTTTAGGAAGGAGGACACAGGTATGTAGATGTATGGCAAAAAACCTGCTCCAAAACACACCCCCAGAGACACAAGCCTGTGCAATGACAACTCCTAGAAACAAAGGACAACTTTTAATAACGCAGTGTATAAAAAGGATCACATCATCAACATTGTGTAACTTTTAATCATAAGTCTAAAACTATTTTAATGGATATCTTAATAGTCTTGTCTATAATTATTCTCTACTGCGTGCAATGAGTATTTGAACAGTTTAAAATGTCAGACATAAATGGCAGATTGCATTACCTTTTCAGCGTATAGACGGTGTAGCACCCAAGGAATTATTACGACCATGTACAAAACCAAGGTGTGCTGGTTACAGAGCCCAAATCCAGAGCAAAAAGCCCCCAAATGTGCAATCTAAAAATGCAGTGAGCATTAAGTCATTTAAGTCAACAAACTGAAATAACTATAAATGTTACTTGTAACTATAAATGTTACTTGTCTTACTTTGCTTCTTTCGGGACCATTGTCAGCACAATGGAAGCAGGCAGACAAGAAGAAGAGCAAACCAACACAAAGGTTGTTGAGGGTGAAGACCTCGGCCACCACAGACCACTGCCAGGTCAGTCTGGACACAGCGAACATCCCTCCAGCCAAAGCAGCTCCAGGAACCGGGCCTTCTAACCTGTCCAAAAAGTTTGAGAAGTTACTCTGGAAGTTTATTTCAACAACATGAGCCCAACTATTTTCAACTTTTCACACACTAAAAAGCAATTATATTTTATTTGAACAAACCATTTTTATCTTTTCTATTTGTCCTAACATACACTGTAGCAACATAAAAAGCTTCATAGCAGTTTCACACATAATTTAAATTTTCCAGTCAGAAAAGCAGACACTTCCCCAGACTAATTTGGAGGCCCGTTCTAATCTTCCCTCGGCCCAAGTTTGCTTTTCGGACGAGACCTTGAAAAACACTGTGAACCCAAATATTCTGGTATCATAGGAACTCTTTCCTGTGCTGTTAGTCGATCTGGGGCAGGCTGGCAGAGAAACCGCCATGTGGGAGATAGCACTTTATCCTCTACTTCTTAAATATACTGAGAGCACAAAAGTATGGTCTTCATCCTCTCCTGTTCTGTCTCCATCTCTTCTGCAGTAATTGAAGGAAACTTGGGATAATCTGTCATACGCTAAGACCCACCACTTACTCCAATGAGAGAGAGAAAGAGAGAGAGTGGGGAACAAATTATTGGGGGGACAAAAAGTGTGTGTTAAAGGGGTGTGCGTCTGTAGGGCGGGAGACAAGTGTGCAGGACGAAGGATGAAATTCACAAAAAAGGAAGAGAAAAGTTGAGGAAGCACGAGAGGAAAAATAGAATAAAAAGCAGCCCTGTCCCCGGCATGCTGGCTCGGAAATATGAGCTGCAGCCTCGACAATTAGGGAAGTCAGGCAGTATGGCCCTTTCCGCCATTGTGTGGAGTGGCTTAGAGTCCTCATCAGCCTATCAGCTAACTGACAGGCAGAGAGCTGCTCTATTCAGCACCGCAGATACAAGCTGCAGGCCAAACGGCTGCCAGGTCCCTTATGACCCCACAATCCCTCGCCGGTGACAGCTTCAAGCTCCATAGCAAATTAGGCGCTCTCACATTACAATCGCACAAGACAGATTCCATTAACGGTATCTGAAATTGAGTAGAGAGCAGCCCGTTATCAGACCTGACTCATAAGCACCGCCATTAATCACAAGGCATGATACCATTTATACATTTCCAGCTCTCTGCCTGCCGCTGTGATAGTCAGCCACAAAAGGCCTGATGAGACTTAGGCGAGGGGAACAATGGAGCTTTCTGAGGAGAGCACAGGAAATCAGGAAAAAGGGAGAGCAAGAAAGGCAGAGAGAAAAGTCCTGTGCGCCGACTACTTCCCCTTTTTTCTTGGCTCCTCTCTCTCCCTCTCTCTCTCCCTCTCTCTCTCTCTCTCTCTCTCACTCCTCCTCACCACCGTTTCCTCTGTTCACAGTGAGGGTTGGGGAGGGGGTTAGTCAGCTGTGTTGATGGGGCGTCTCGGAGTGGCTTTTAATAAGAGATAGCGACGTCTCTCTCACCATACCGCTTCAGGAATTAGTATTAAGTTGAGGGGAGGATGAAGAAAGGGAGTGTGGACTTTTGTTGAGGTGTACAGACCCCCACACCCATCATTTTACCTCACTGCGTGACAATTAACCCGTAGCTTATAATTCCAGCAGGGGGGCGATTTGAGGTCACATTCGGTGCAGGGGAGTGATGGGGGTCCAGGGATGGGGTATTACCCTGTGTGTTCTGGCATCTGATCTCCAGCACTCACACTTCCTCCCATACGTCTGCAGCACATATTCTTTCTTCTGCTCTGCTTTATTCTCCCTGAGCGACTGACAAATCTCTCTTTTAGAGTGTGTCAGAGCGCCAGAGCTCAGTGATGTGTGTACAGTGCCTCTGTAAATGACCTGTCTGTCTGCCAGGGACCACCTGGGCCCCGGGCTGCCTCTCAGCCGCTGCACAGCTCATTCTCCAGGCTGCCTGCTCCCAGGACACACAGATAAACCACGGCATCGCCTCTCACCGTTGTAGCCATGCTCCTTGTTATCACAACTCAATGCAGTGCTGGATGGGGCTGTGTTAAAATGTTGTGGCTCAGTGACAATGGCCTGAAGAGAATAACAACCCTGACAACTAGAGTATTCAATCACACTGCCTGTCACCACAAAATAAAGTGGCAAATATTATACAATTTAGCTGTGAATACCAAAGAAAGTCCATTTCCATCTAGTGTAAAGGATCTTAAAACATGTACCACATTAACAAGAAAGACCATGTGTTTTTGTATAAATACTAACGAGCTTCTACCAGTACAAAGAACAATATATTTTTGCCAAAGTCCAAATGGGTCTTGTCTCATTGACCCGCTGCAGAGCCGTGCCAGCAGCAGGCGCCTGTGCTAAATAACAGCACACAAAAAGCTTGGTTTTGAATGAAGCTTGACAATAGAGCGAGCCAAAAGAGTGACTGTCCCACACCACCCCGGGGAGCAGACAATAGCAGAGCCGTGCCACTGCCTCTGTAGTGTAACCCAGCCGAGGTTTGGGGAGGCAGCGCTGGAAAGGAATCACACATTCCTTAAGAGGGTACAGAGCGAGGAGGTGCCCTGCTCGGAGGCGGAGGTTTCCAGCTGGCCCGTGATAACACCCCGCGGCTCTCCTCTGGCCAGGACAACAGCAGGGTACTTAGCAGCTATTATATGGAACTGCTAAGTGCATCATATGGTGTTTGGATTTGTGAAGCCAGGCATTTGATACAGAAATGAAAGCTTTGAATCAAGGCTTTGAGTCAGTCTAAACGCGCATTGTTCTTCTTTTAAAAACAGCAGGATTGAAGAAACATAATTATTTTTGAATATTTTAGTCATAGACAAAATATAAAATATAGGTTACAATAAATAACATAATTATTCAATTAAAATTAATTTGATAATGAATAAAACAATAAATATAAACCCTAATTAGGAGTTTTATACAGTGGTTACTGGTAGTTGTTTTTTGTGAGATTGAAGCTGAGTACTTTATTTTACAGCAATCTAGTATCTATTCAAATGCAAACAAAAACAAAAAATAAATATTACAAATTAAATATAAAGATTTTTTTTTTCCATATAATACAATTGTGTTATTTTTATATCAAAGGTCACAGATTTGGACCTGGTTCCTCTGCCCTCCTCCCTCAGTGAGCACTGGGGGAGTATGTGGCTCTGTCTCTCAAACTCTCCTCCAGGAGAACGCTTCAGTGCCTGTAAAATTAATCACCGCAATTCGGCTCAAACAATGCAGCCACTGACATGACAATTTCTCCCAGAATGCCATCTTAATCTCCACCCGACACACAAAAATTATAGGAAGAGGGAGAGGAGAAAAACAATTTGCAAAAATGCTATGTTTATGCAATTCACTATATACCATTTGACTGCTGCCTTCTCCAACAAAGTCATTAGGCACACACCAGTGATACATAAATGTGGCTGTATAGATTCCATTAACTAATTCTGTGTGAATTGTAATTGCAGAGGCTGATCCGCCTTGGTGCCCGCTGCCTGCCTTATTAAGGCTGCCTGTGGTTGGGAGCGCTGGGATATTGACGTCCGAGGCAGACACAATCTCAGGCCCACGGGCGAACGGAATATTAAAGTGTGACTATATTGGGCTGCCTATCTAGCCCTCCTGCCTCCTCCTCTGCAGCTCTCGCCCCGTCCTGTAGCCAGTAATGAGGAAATAACATCTTCATTAGACATCTGTTTAACTGTATTAGAGGATGAGTCCTGGGGGAACCATTGGTCATGCTGACGATGGGGGTCTGGTGGACTACAATATAACAAATGTGATACTGAAAGGATGGAACAAAAGGTCCGCAGATTGGGTTCTATTAAAGCAGACAAACTCAAATTGACTTGTGCTTTTACACACACAATAAGTGCACTGTCCCTTCCACTTGGAATGATGATGCTATCTAAATACAGCACATGTTAAACAGTAAGTGTGCCACATGAGGGCAAAGACGGTTTCAGACAACATATCTTCTCTGTCAATGTTCTGAATGAAGCCAACATTCTGTTTGAGCTACATATGTAAAGTCAGTCTGTATGTCCAACACTACAGACATGTGCCCTTCTGTCCTGGGCTTTAGTAAGAAACAAGTCAGGATTATAGTGAACCAGAGAAAGTAAAAGCAGGACATGAAAAAAAAACACTCTGTTTTTTTAAAAAGATACCCCAGAACAGAGGGCAGCCTGGGCTTCCTGGTGAAGGAAACATGGACAGTGACTTGGGAGCATATGGTGCACCACCAAATAAGGAGCAAAGGGCTGGGATGGCACCATGCCCGCTCTGCTCCACTGTGAATCAGCTGTGCCACAGGGGCCAGAGCTTGGCAGGGGGCCTTTTACAGGTAACACTGCAGTTATGTAATCATGTGATCAGACAGAGTGCTGATCATCAGCCTTTTGGATTGTTTTGCCAGAGCGGCTGTCACTATGCTAAGGTGTGGGTTTGTGCTGTCTCAGGATAATCTGGAGAATGGAAAGAGATTCCTCACAGGTAGCAGAGATTGTGAGCAGCTTTAGCAGATAAACTGAACGCCGAGCTGTCAGGATTATCCTGCCATAAAGACAGCGTTCCTCTCAAGAGCCGTGGCGGAGGCCTTTAGCATTCCAAATGCCATATGTGTTTTTCTGGGAAACTCCAAGTGCAATCGATAGCAGTTCTCAGTGCGTCCAGCATCCTCAAAGACTTGTCAGACCATGGTGTGAAAACAGAACAAGACATGCAATTTGGCCATCAAACCACATGATCAAGCCAAGAAACTGTAATTGACAAATCAAAGGGAAGCTAAGTGCTACATTTAAACTCATGAGGGAGAGAAGTGGCTTCCAAGCCTATCAACTTACATTCCCCCACATTAAACACAGCAATCTGGCCCACTCATTTAAATTGATACATCAAAGGCTTTCCATGTTGGGAGTATTCCAGATGAATTTCAAGGTTTTACAATTTTACTCTGCCTTCAAGTACTTGTATTAAAAGCAATATATTCTTTCCATTTGAAAATAAAATTACCAAAACTCATTTGTTTTGGTGTAGGGTGTAATAAGTGTAGATTGTCTTTCAAACAAACTCCTGTTACAAGGGTAAAAGATTGTAAAAATAAATAAATAAATAAATAAATAAATAAATAACTATACCAGTATTCTGCATTATTTATCACTGGGTTAAAACACACAATATCTGATATTCTACAAATACACTAAACTAAAAATAGATTGATTTTCCAGTTGATTCCTGGAGCTTCACATCAAATGATCATTACACTTGGCTTAAATGATAATTAATAATAATTATGATGATTACTAGTAAAAGCTGGTGCGGTGGCACATCCAGTGCACAACAAACAAAACCCTGAGAGGCTCTATAAGAGACTAACAGTGAACTGCTAGAGCACAGTCATGTAGCACTGAGGACAAATAAACATCCAGTGTCAATGTTCTGTACTTCTTTTACCAGTGCAGCTCCTGGGTGAGCCTTGTAGACATTTAAAAAGCACTAGCATGCAAAAAGCTACAAAAAGAGAAATGTTGACACAATATGTTTCCCTCAACAAAGCCCCAAATGACTAACATCAGCATAAGGGTGATGTATGGAGGTCTGAGCACACAACTGAAGAAGAGTGAACACAGTGGGGTCAGCAGTGGCAGGACAAATTGTAGGGTGTTTGACAACACAGCTCTCACATGTTCTTATGGGGTGAGGAGTGCAGAGAGAAGGAGAAGTCGTGCCATGTTGGGCCTGAAAGCCTGCTGCGCTGTGGGGGTGGCACCATTGAACCAGGAAGTAGAAAGTGGGGGTTGTGAGGCTGGGTAACTGTGATATACAGGGAGGTGTGCGCTCACTCCAGGTGGCTGATGGGTAAACAGGCAGGGTAGGGTGCTGGGACAGAGAGGACGATGCCTGGCTTCTGGCTGAGCATACTAAACAGGGGATCAGGGACGTCACTGTCAAGCCGACCAAAAGATACACCATCAGCGCACCAGGAGTCATTCTGCTACCACCCCGCCAAAAAAATTACACATCCTTAGTTTTGAGACACTAGCTAGAAAATGTGCGCAGATCCTAGAAATGAGAATACAGGAAGTGCGTCAAAGTAGCTTTATCAATATATTATGATACTTGATATGTTGATACAATATTGATTTCTCTGGCTTCTGTGTCAATATATTGAAATTAAGCATTTGTTGGCCATTTCAAAGTGCCCACAGTTGTTACAGTGCTTGAGACTGATTATAATAAAATTGGTTTAAAAAATAACAAAAATAGTACCTGTGAAAAGAATGACTACATCTTCCAGTATTTTCCAGGTTTCTCATTAGACTTGGACAATCCTTACCTGCACACAGTAAGGCAGAGGGCACTACTGGCCAGCGCCCCCAGCAGGCTGCTCATCAGGTTGACACTGTGGGCAGGAGACAGTGAGGGCAGAAGACGCATGGACAGCCAGGCTAAGAGCGTGAAGACGGGGTATCCTGGAGGATGAGCAACCTACACACACACATACACAATTATAGAGAACAGTGCAAGTATGTGAGAAAACTTGAGTGATAGACGACAAAAGAACGTGTACAGGACATAATGAAATGAACCATTTGTCTAACATCAAAGTGTTCTGGTGCTGCTGCTGCTGTGGCCTCTTCCCAAGGACAGTGTAGTTCCCCAGAGTCCACACAGAGCAAAGCACGTGGTTTCACCAGCCCCAAACCACCTCGGAGCTCAGTGGCAGTCGCCTGGGGGAGCTCAGCAATCACAGCAATTAGCCGCTAAGTCTCCTTGTGCAGATAAGGCTCAGTCATTAAACATGGGCTCATTCTCTGCTCTGATAAGATGAACCAGAGGAAGAGGGCCGCTCTTCAAATAACACTGAGTACAAAGGTGAGAGTGGGACTGCACTGGTCACCTCCATACACTCACACAAACCAGTGTCAGGGACATTATGGGCTCCACACTAAACTACTTCATCACAAAACAACAAGCGACACCTCAAAATACTAAGACTAAATAAAGACAGGTGAGTATGAGACTGGCCTGTGGTACACTGGCAGACTGCAGCTCAGAGCTGAGGAGCAGAGGCACAGTCAGTGGAGAGGAGCAGAGCTTTGGAGGTCTGGGCCCGGAGAGGGCTCCAGGCTCTGGGGAGGCCTGAGAGGAGACAGACAGGCCACACGGACTGCAGCACTAACCACAGGATTACTGGCATAGTGACACCGACACAGGCTCCCTAAAAGGATCACAGCAGCGTAATAAACTTTATTAAATAATAAAACTTATTAGAACTGGTAACCCGATTTACTTCATTCTTTGCGGCTTACACACACAAAAAGAGGGGTGGATATAATAAGCCTTATACCGTACATAAGGCAAAGCCTACAAAAGCCATCGCCTCACCATTGATTTTAATTGGATTTGAAAAACGGGTTGCAAATTATAGCATTCTCTACTTGCAACTTAGTAAAATAAGTGTATAGAAAAGAGGGGAAACCTGTGGACTCAAAGTAAATTAATCTGCTTCTGCCCATGCTTAATTAAACTTCCTTAATGCTTATGAGAGTTAATGAGTGAATTGATTAAACAATACAGCTAATACTTACCCCCAGCTCACAAGCCGTGGTGATCAGCTCTCCTGTGGAACGGAATAGGAAGGAAATTAATGTAAACCCAATCATTATTATTAAGAGACAAGACTGCTCCCAAAGTTTTCCCAAATCAAATACTTGCACTGGGGTTTTGCATTAATTTGCCAGGATCAAAACCTGCAAATCTTCCCAGTGTGACATTTCCTAAGCGGCATGCTCATTCTCTTCATCTCTCCCTCTCCCCAGACACCTCCCCCCTCGCTCTCCCTCCCTTCTCTGCACATACACACTAAACATGTGTGGTGCTCTGTCACACAAAGGCACACATATGCTGATGTGAGAATAATGTGCAGTCCCATGCTCCGCTCCCACTCGCACTGTCTCCGTGTCTCCTCCAGTCCATTGGGCCCAAACAGAAAGGAGGCTGCTGACACGCACAGAATGAGGTAAGCTCCTAAAATAAGAGCAGGCTGCACATTTGTGACAGGCTCAGTGTGAGGTGCAGCACACACTCAAGAGGACAGCCCCAAAAGCTATTTGTGGAGCTGTATTTGGGCACAAACCCATTTGTGCCAGAATACATCCAGAGCGTTTCAAATTACACTGATTTCTCACCCAATGTTTGCCTCTCCCACTCAGCAAAATTGAAATTTTGTTCATATTAAATGACTTTGATAACATTTGGATTCATCAGCGCTCCCTCTACAGGTTATTGATCGGACCATACCATTTGACTCGTGCGGTCAGGTTTGGGTTTTCTAAGATCATGGACAAAGGAAAAGGAGTTTACAGCTTATACAACACATATCTTCTCCCTTATTGAATCTGCAGTTTGGTAATGCATGTGTTTAAAGCAGGTCTGGTGGAGCCTTGTTGATGCTGCACTTGTGTGAGCAGTCTAATGGAGCATGAAGGCACCTGTGCGGCTTAAGCTCTGTCACACCTGCATGAGGCCGCTGCCATCACTTTACATCACACTTTCTCATTTCCCCTCAGTAATGGCACACTTAGCACTAAGCACAGCAGCTACAGCAAACAGCCAGCAAACAGCCAGCCAACAGCCATCTCAGTGCCACAAGAGGCATTTGTGCAGCCCTAATACCAAAAAGAGAAAATATGGAGTCGACGGGGAAGCTGCACGGGTGCCAAGACTCTTTGTGATAGAGGAGCACGGGCACCCACACCAGTCTGCCATAATCCCCATCATTTCCACACTCACATTCCGAGACAACAGTGTCCCCGCAGGGCTGCGCTCCAGCCCCTCCAGGGCACAGCACACCTAAAGAGATTAGGACACAGAGACGGAGACCTGGAGAATTCCAGGGGTGTTCAGCTGGCACTATCAGAGCGGGCATCCTGCACCATCCCTAAACGCTGTGGAGAAGAGGCTGGCCAGGCTTTCAAAGCAGCGTTCAGACGACAGCCGCAGCAGCAGGGCCACTGCTCCTCTTCACCGCTCCTCTATCTGTCCCAGCTTTCATGTGCTTTCACTGCCAGTGTGCATTCCCTTTTGTAGCACAACTGCCAGAGCAGCACAAACCTAACAGGCACAGCCTTCATGCCATCCAGTCCACTTTACAAGTTTGTAACCGCGCTATCACTTCTAAACACTGTTTGTAATTGTGCAAGGCTTGAAATGAAACTACTGCATTACAAGAATGTTGGATGGTACTGAGCAAATGACATTTCTCTGAACTTTCCAAAACATTAGTATACTTCACAACTTGTTAAAAAGAACAGCAATGGGAAAAGTAAAGTTATGTGACAAACATTATTGCACACACACAGGCCTATGATATGATTGAAAAAATGTATTAAGATGCAAATTATATTTCTCTGAACTCTGTTCCAAAACTTTTCACTATTATACACTTGTTAAACAGAACAGCAATGGAAAAAGCGTCTGAACATGACTGTGCATAGGCCTAGAGTCTATGTGACTTGATACTGCATTGTGATGGGTTTGCTCTGTATATGAACCTTTACTGGGGGAAAAACCCTTCACGTGTTTCAGTTTATTCAAAATGTAGAAACTTTTAAGTAAGATCAAATCGCAGGAATTCACCATCACGTGACGTCTTTAATTGTTTTATTTCCCGTGCTATAATGTTTCTAATTGGTATATTTGACTTTTAGCCTACAGGCCTGCGTCTGTTTGAAATTACAATAAGGCTTCATTTATCAAAGGTGTTGATCAAAACATCTGACTGAGGATTGACAGAGGACTGACAGAGGGAGGCTGCAGGACCACGGACAGCACCGCAGCTCTGAGTTGTGAGCGGGCTGCCTCTGGATTGGCTCCTACAGACTACTACATACACCACATGACCACACACAGCGCACACACAAACACACAGACTGCAGCACAGACCTGAGTCTCCCCCGGGGACGCTCCTCTGGACACACGGCACGTACAGAGCCGCCACACAGGCCGCCGTGGCACCGCACAACATCCAACTTTTCCTCGGCGCCCAGGGCATCACTAAAACGGAGAATAAGTTTAACACTGTTGCCTTACGGATTTCTGTGAGCTAGCTTACAAAGGGCTAATGTGCGAACCTACCGTTTGCTTTCGATAACTTTTAAGACGCAAGTCTGTCTCCTCGGGATGAGGGCTCATAAATCTACACAGTGGCTCCTTTTGCTTCTTGAGTTCATGTTTTCCTGGAGAGAGCCCGAAACATTTTCAGACAAACCGGGAAGTTTCGACGGAAGTAGTCATCATAGTAGCGTAGTCTTAGTCTGGCGTAGCGCTCTTATTCACAGAGGATTTACGCCGCGGTATTACCGTAGGACCACAGGAAACTACCACAGGAACTACACGCCCCCTGCATATGGAAGAACTGCGGAGGAGGGAGCAGCGGCACAGAGTTAAAGCTAAATGAAGTTTGCGACGTAAGTTTGTCATAAGAGAAAAATCAGAGGAACAGGAGAAGCTGCCGGAGTACTGTGTTGTGTGTGAAAAGTGCAGAGCAGTCCTCTCTGTTTCTACAAAGGCAAACAGCACAGAGAGGACACACAGCAGGTGCACACCACAGCCGAGACCCACATGGACTTTTTTAGACACTGAGGACAAACGTAACTATCTGACAGTAATGAAGAAGACTGTAAACCTCTAGCCAGGAGCCCACCTGCTCAGAGGAGTCTGCTTCAGAGACTCTAATGACACAAGTGTACAATAACATGTCAGGAACTAGTAAGAGTGCAAGACACCTGAGTGCACTGTTAGTAAAAAGACGTTCACGGCCTAACAGAGCTCACAAATGCACTCTATAGTTCACACCAGAAAGAAACCTTACAGGTGTTCAACGTGTAAAAAAGCATTTACTCAAAAATATACTTTACAAAGTCATATAAACATTACAGAAAAACAGCACCCTTACTGCTGTTCAATGAGTGAGAAAACATTTGCTCATCACTTTAGTTTTGAAAGGCATAATTAAATTCACACAGGTGCATGTCCCTACAGTTGTTCAGTCTGAGAAAACATTTATCCTAAATGGTCATCTGAATAGGCATTTTAGATCTAACACAGAAGACAAACCTTACAGCTGTTTGGTCTGTAAAATAGAATTTAGAATGAACTGAGCAATGTACACATGAGAATACATAGTGGCGGAAGACCTTTCAGCTGTTCAATCTGTAAGAAAACCTTTGTCTATGAGTCAAGTCTTATCTACTTCACACAGATGAGCGATCTTACAGCTCTTCAGTCTAATCTGTCTATACACATGAAGATTCATCTATACTGATCAAATTAAAGGAACACTTTGAAAACACCTCAGATCTAAATGTGAACAAAAATATGTTGGATATCTTTACAAATATGAACTTAGGAACAAAAGTGAACCATGCTGCATTCAGCAGAGCATTCTCCTTGTCTTCTCCAGACTCTTTCACATCTCTCACAGGTGCTCTGGGTGAAGTTGCTCTCACCTGTAAAAAGTACAGGGTACTAGTAGAGGACTTGCCAATTCTGGTGTTGTTTAACAAATGCCAGTTAAGATTCACAGAGTTGGGCAGTGAGCACAGGGGGCACTACAGGATGTGGTGCCCTTAAGCCAACCTCGTGAAGTCTGTTACTGATTGTTTGGACTGAGACATTCACACCAGTGGCCTGCTGGAGGTCATTCAGTAGGGCAGGGACAGTGCTCAACCTGTTCCTCCTTGCATATAGGAGGAGAGATGGGTCCCATTGAGGGGTTGAGGACCTTCTATGACCCTGTCCAGCTCTCCTAGACTAACTAGTATCTCCTAGAGTCTACTGAAATCTCCTCTTTGTTCTGTAAATTGTGCTGTGAGACACATTAAATCTCCTTGCAATACCATGTTCGAATGGGTCATTCTGAAGAAACTCTGAGCAACTGTGTAAATTCTGAAAGGTTAAGAAACGGTCTCATACTCCCAGTAGTGAGAATCACTCTAGCCAAAGCAGCACTAGCGGAAAACCAGCCAAAAAAGACCAAGAAGGAGAAACTCGAACATTAACGCCATGTGCAAAACCAATCCTGTTTTAGGGGCTGTATCATTGTTACCACTCTAGTGCACCTGTTGTGTATTTCCATTAAAAGAGGTGGCATCCTTTTGTTCTTAAGACATTGCCCTGTCCATATTTGCATATATATCCAGCATTTTTATTTATTTTTTTCACATTGACATCTGATGCATTTTCAAAGTCTTCCTTTAATTTTTATTTTTTTTTTAGCAGTTAGAAGAAAAGAAAAGAGACTGGCACAACCAAAACCTATCTGTACGTGTTAGAACCAAGTTAAGCCAAGATGCGTGTTAGTGCATCTCTAATTTTAAGAACTTTTTTGTAACAGTTTCCAACAGATGAGGCATACAGTAATTTCTAGAGAATCTGATCCATCGATATCTTGAAAAAATGTGTAGAATAATAAAATCATCTGAAGTCTTGATTTGTGCATTTGTATTAAAAAACAAAAACAAAGATAAACTTCAATCTATAAAAAAAATGAGTAGAAGAGTAGAGAGTAATATGCTTAAAGTTAAATTTACTACCAAAAATACTGTATATAGCTTTCTTAATCTATGACTTAAGCACTCATTTAGCCTTTAGTCATGCTGTTAAAACCGAACCTGGGCGCATATACCTCTAAACGTTTCACAAGTGGCTGTATTGCTTAGGTCAGAGGGTTACTGTAATACGGAAATTGCCCTATTGAACCGATAATAATCCCTGGCCATCCTAAATGAGTCTGATCCCTTGGTTAAATTGAGCCCTTGGTAGGGTGGAGTGGTGTCAGCACCCAACCCACTCTGATGGCTATAGCTAATCCTCACTTCCATTCTCACACAGCTTTCCTGTCTAATCAGTCGGGAGCACACACGTTTTACTCTATACTCCAACACACCCACCCACACCCACTACCCATCATTCTTTGCAGTTGGACTCTGGTCACTGTACTAATCTCTGCTTGTTTTTTTCCTGTAGGCTGCAACGCTGGCAACAAGGTGCAAAGTGAGTGGACGGAGTTTGAGAGGGTGGACGCACAAAAACTGTAATACAAAAAGCATATGCACAATTGTTTATCAAAGTTTTTCCACACACATTTTAGTAATACATACTCAAGTCTGTATGGGGATCACTGGAGCGACTAGGATTAACCACCCCCAGGTCCTGAAAATGCGTTTTATTGACAGCTTGTCCAAAGAGAGGAATTACCCACAAGTCCTAGCTCCATATGGCGTCTGCTTATTAACAAACATTAGTCCAGGGTAATAGCAGCGCTGGTATTAAATTCATTATCGCTCCAGATTGCATGAGAAGTGGCATGTTTTGTGCATGTGCCAAAGTGCGTGATTAGAGAGTTCTAATGTTGCTGCTCGGGGGAATTGGAGCATAAGATAAAGGCATTATTAGGGAATAGCATGGTCCAGTACACAGGAAATGTTTGAAATATGAATTTTATATTACACATAAGAGTTAAGACTATGCCAACATTATACTATATACATATTTGGGAAACTTGAGCAGAAGTGGAGCAGCTCATTTGTTACACAGTGGGTTAGTAGTTTAATTCCCACTCATAGAAACATCAGTTGCACTATGACGCTTTTCTCGGAAGTCCACTATCTGCTTGTCTCCGTGGAGATGTCACTGTTTAGTCTAGAATGTTTCACTATATGGCATTAAACTTGTCAATCTACCACATTGTTTCCCAAAGACTGGGAACCCTCAGGTCGGTCACAAGAGATATTTTTGGGGGGTCGCCTTGTCACGATCTGGATGTAGGTCTACAATATACAGTTCTCACACATGACACATCTGGGCTCACAAAAATAAAGACAAAGCACAGAAACGGACTGAATCTGAACCTGATCTGCGTGTTGAGCTCTCCTCCTGCACCCTGGACTGGAACGCACTACAAAAACCCAGACAGGCCCACCTATCTCATTATAAATGTTGAAATGTTAAGACATGCTTTGTATAATTTCTAATCTTTTTGTAATAATTTTATTGACTATTTTGTTCCAATATTGCTGGTTCAATTGAATGTTGAAAAGAAAAAAAAAATCATGTCCAAATCAGTGACTTATGGATCCTTTTATTGCTGGTTCAATTACAGTTTTTCATTGTTTAAAACTTGAGTAATACTAATTGTTCAGAGACTCAATAAAATCTCCTCATTAATGCTCAATAATGGTCAAATCCACCTTTATTTTGTGATTTAAGAATAATGTCTATTGACTTGGGTCACAAAGATTTGTGACTTTTAAAATATGGGTCCCTAGAAAAAAGTTTGGGAAACACCGATCTAGCATTTGTTCAATATATGTTTTTATTGCTTGAGACAAACCTTGAAAAACGTGCATTCTTACGGTGAGCTTAGTCGCCTCTTCACAGATCTTAACTGTGACTTAGCTTAATGGCATCACCTGCTGGTCTCCATGGAAACAGATAGGTTTAAAGCCATACTGTATAACATCCCAGTCAAAGCAATAACAACTTTACGACTATTTTAACGTTTAATAATGTAGCGTCTTATGGTAATTAATGGACAAATAGTTTACAAGATGTCGCTTTATTGTGGGAACTGAATTGGTTACTGTCGGCTGTAACCATGGCAATACAATTAGGTTAACAGTCCAGTATATCCGCCTCAAAACTCGGACCGCGTTGCTCTCCAGAACCAAAAAAAAAAACTCCTCCAAACCCTTCTTCTTAACACAAGCCCACAGCCCACAACTTTCATCCAATCACTTAACATAACACATCATGTAACAGTTATTAAAACAGGAACAAGGTTTTAACAAGTATGTTATTGCAGGTTGCTACAATAATATAATATTAAAGAAACAAGCCCTCTTCTCACATTTAGAACCCCCTGGCAATACATAAAGCTGTAAAGTTGGAATTTGGGACTTGGCAAATACCATCTGTGAAAGTACTGTGAAAGTTTGTTCAAGCTTAATGAACAACTTACATGCGTACGTGTAATTTCAGTGATGGATTCCCATAAAAAACACTGGGTCACATGTGGTGGTGTAGTCTATGGGTTTAAAACAGACCAGCCCACAGACAGTCATGCTTGAAAGAGTGGCTTAAGAGACTAGAGAGTGAAATTGGGTCTATTTGAATTTGTATTTTGCTCACTTTACCACGTATCTGTTTTAATCTTACCTTAAGCATCCTTGAAATGAGGTGTAATCCAGTTAAGCCCCTTTAGAATCAGCTTTGC